AAAGAAGGTGAGTTCAATACCTGGTTAAGGCAGTGGAGAACTTTCAGAGGGAAAATTAGCAGGAGATAACTGATAACTGACATCCATCAAAACATGGCACGTGGAACTAGAACAGTCTACCCCAGTGATCGAAATAAAGGGTTCGGTTCGAAATTCCAACCACCTGAAGAAGTCCGGAGCGTACAACGGCCGAAACGTTGTGACAAATATGGCGACAAAGATGAGAAAAATAGTCCGACTAATGTAAATAATGTACAATATTATAGGTAGGCAGAATTTCAGTGCCGGGAATTGGTACTGATGACCCATCACATGATCCACGGTCATTACGACTAAATATCTACAATAATAATAATAATAATAATAATAATGCACAGAACAATCAAAGCCAACCGCCCAGATATTGTTATTAAAGACCACAAAAAAAAAAGTGTCTCCTTATTAATATTGCAGTCCCTGCTGACTGTAATGTATCTTTGAAGATATTCAAAAAGCTGTCAAAATAAAAGGACCTTGAAATCGACATTTCAAACATGTGGCACATGGGAACATCAACAATCCCTGTTGTAGTTGGATCCCTCAGATTGGTTGGAAAAGATTCCAGTAGGCTAATTGAAGGAATTCCTGGAAGTCCATGCCTCAAAGAAATACAAAAAATTGTTCTCACAAGTACAGCCCACACCTTAAAAAGGGCTTTATCTATGTAATTTTTTTTTCCAGTGGAAAATGTCATGATGCCATTTCTAACCTTAGGTCTCTGGGCGGGACACGGAAAGAAATGAGTATACACCAGAAATCAAAGGAAATAATAATAATAAATAAAATAAAATTATTAATAATATTAATAATAATAACATTAATAATAATATTAATAATACTATTAATAATAATATTGATATTAATAATCATATTAATAATAATAATAATAATATTAATAATAACAATATTAATAATAATATTAATAATAATAATAAAATTAATAATAATATTGATAACAATAACAATATTAATAATAATAATATTAATAAAATATCTCTATCTATAAAAGTCAGGATGTGTGTGTGTGTAACGAATGCACGGCCGCAATTTTCGACGGATTTGCACCAAAATTTACATGCACCCAAGTTAGCGGGAAGGCCAAGACCGACTTTGCATTTCCCAACTCCCATCGATAGTGGAAATAATCGATTTTTTTCATTCTTCTACGGCAGTTTTCATGTAGTTTGCGGCCATTTTGTACTGGCCAGAGTGAGAGCCTATAGCTGGCTGCCACGAATAGGCAAGAAGATTCTATTGGCCAGCGTGAGAGCCAACAGCTGACTGACACGAATGTTAACTAGCATGCTAGCACGTAAAAAAAAATCGATAGCTTCATTCGTCACAAGTGGGAAAAATTTAAATCTGCATGGCACTTTATTCCAATTGGCTCATTCGTTTGCTTAAACTCAACGTTGATTCTGATTCTGCAAAACTGGTTTGGGTGTGAAAAAGTATTTGTTGTTAATATTCTTTTTTCATTCGGTTTTTCCAGTTACGAGTCCTTTTTTAAAGCTGATCGTTTTGTGTTCATTTTGTTTAGTTCTTTTTTTGTAACAGATTTAATGTTTAGTATAGAGCTTAGAAAAAATTTGCAGTGTGAGATAGGCAAGAAATAAGGCATGTAGCAACATCAGCACGGCAAAGGGCACTCCTTTAAAGGCAAGGAATGGCGAAAAATATTTTAAGTCAAGTGATAGCGATTGCTGTATGAGTCGTACGATTTTTGAATCAAGCACGGGCAATGCCGGGCCATACAGCTAGTTAATAATAATATTAATATAATATTAATAATAATATTAATAGAATATTAATAATAATGTTAATAATAATATTAATAGAGTATTAATAATAATAATATTAATAATAATAATAATAATAAACAAAATGACTGACTTTCAATAGTTTTCAACAGTTAAGATAAGAGCACGAAAAAAGAAAGAAAAAAAGAAAAGAAAAAATAAAGCAGTGTTTGACAATGTTAAACAATATTTCGACAATATGTCTGTCTTCAATTTTTTTTTAATCTTATTATAAAACGCAGATTGTGTGTGTGTGTGTGTGTGTGTGTACGTTTATATATTGGATCGGATTTCCTACATTTTTCAACCGATTTCAACAAAACTTCACGGGGCTACGTAAAATTACCTTGTGGTGGTTCTGACAGCACCAAAAATTGGAAAAACACAATTGTTTTTGCAGGAAATCAATTTGAAAACATGATTAAGAGGCATCACTCGCGAGAATGAAAGGGGGACAACTCATATCGAGTTATACTTATTATAAAACCAAGGTTGTTTGTGTGTGTGTGTGTGTGTTGTGTGTGTGTGTGTGTGTGTGTGTGTTCGTTTATATATGGGATCGGATTTCCTACATTTTCAACCGATTTCATCAAAACTTCATTTTTTTTGGCAGGTAGTGTTTCTTATTGTCTTGCACACTTTTTTTCATTATTTTTACATTCAGAATGCTTTAAAAATTCCATTTACAAGACAATTGTTTATAATAAAATTCTATTCACCAATCGATAGACTCATAACGATTGTAAACAATGTTTTTGTTTGAATTTGGATTTGACCAATTCGTAAAAAAAATAAAAAAAAACAACTAATTAAGACATGCGTGTCCGTCAACCTTAAACAATAATCTTTGTCAATTTTATTTTTCAGTCTTTATGATGGCCGATACTTGATCTATCTCTTACTGTTACATCCCCGGGCAACGCCGGACTCTACTGCTATTTTTTTTATAAAGCAAGGCCAGAGTGTCACTAGCACGCAGGGTTTTACAGACAGTTAAAATGAGAGAAAAAACTGGGTAGACGGAGGGGGATTTGAGAAAAGGATAAAAGAAGAGTGGGGATCAAAAGCAACACACGATGACGATTAACGTTGCATTTACATTTTTGAAGATTGTATTTATCAAGGAAAGAAATAAGCGGAAGGGAGTTCTACAGGCAGGAAGTGCAAAAAAAAGAAACTGTTGGAGTAGAAGTGGTGATTACATTTAGCTATTTCAGCAGTAAAAGGGTGGGACCTAAATGCCAATCTAGTAGCACGCTTAAATTCATGTAGTCGCGACACCAGGGGGAAAAAAAGCTCATTCCGTCCTGAATATGACAGTAAACTACATCCACGTTCTGGGTAAGACGATAAACTAGGTCCAGCAAGTCAGGCCTCTGATCAGGAGGCTTTGGGGAGCGTGGAAGCACTTCTTAATTGCTGGTGTTCCCAGGTCCAACATAGGCCGGGGTGGTAGCACCTGTTAGGGTCCCAGCTATAGGCAAATAGTTAACCCCTAAACTGGGATCAAAACACCGTGAATGTGTAAAAATAGGTTTTAATACCAGAAATACTTTGTAAAAAATTATTACAAGCAATAAATTTTTGAATAAAAAAAAAATATTACCAGAAATAATTTATTACCAGCAATACATTTTTAAGAAAAAAAAAAAATTAACAGCAATATATTTAAAAAAAAAAAAAAAATTACCAGCTACACATTTTTCAAAAAAAGTACCAGCGATACACTTTTGGAGAAAAAATATTGCCAGAGATAAAAATCTTGTCGGCATTATATTACCCATTGAGGTTGATATGGAGTAAAAAAAAAAAAAAAAAAAAAAACGAAAAAAAACACACTAAGAAAAAAATTAAGTTTTTGTAAAAACGTTGCATGTCTCGTAATGAAAAAAAATATGATAGGCCATACGTGATAAGATTATGCACAACACAGGAAAAGTTATCGGTATGAACCAGGTATGTAAATGAGTGAATGTAGGTCATTGGACTTGTAACTGATAAACAGCAATGAAACACTCGTAAAATACGAGGCGAAATCAAGTAACGTTTTAACATCGAGAGAAATGAAAAATATAGAAAGAAGCTTAAATATTTGAACTGAACAACTTTACTAAAATATTGCAGGGACAATCATAAATATAAAAGCTGGTCGTTATTTTAAGAAGTCGCACAATATTTTGAAATTGATAATTATTTCCATTTCACAGCTGTTAAACTCTTCTATCGTTCTTTCTTTCTTTCTATCTCATTAAAATCAAGTCGTGTCTGTTCCTCCTTTCTACGCGATCAAAAGCGAAATTATTTTGAATTTGAGGCGTTAAAAACTTTCTTTCATTTTCTTGAAACCCATGTTTCTACAAGTGATCCAAAACGGAATAGTCCATTATTTCTGAGGAATTCAGGTTCCTTCTTTTCTTTTTCTTTTTCATCTTCATTAAAACCAAGTAGTGTCTTTTCCTCCTTTCTACGCTATCAAAAGCGATTAGTCCATTATTTATGAGGTATTAACAGGAGACGTTAAACACTTGAGATCAAGAAGTTTCTTTTTCCCTCTTTTCACGCGATCAAAACTGATTAGTCCATTATTTAGGAGGTATTGGCAGGGCGTAACGGTCGTGCAAACTAACGAACGGAGGGAAAAGGTTTATTATTATTATTATTATTATTATTATTATTATTATTATTATTCATAATATTTAGACCACAGCATTCCCTGGCCTTAATGGCCGATGAAATTAATCTTTGAAAGTTTCCAAACAAACCTTCAAATCGGTAAGAATAACCAATTCTGCCTAGTTACCTAACGTCTCTAACCAGTGAGTTTGCATCCTCCATTATTCTCACACAATATATTCTTTGCTCTTTGGATCGGCCTGTTCACCTTTGTTGTACACCCAACGTTTTGGCCATTGTACCGATAGGTTTTCTTCAGATATTTATCTTCGTACTCAATACCTTTTTTTGTAACTTCGAACGGAATCCCTTTATTCAATTCACAGGGTAGATGGTTCTCATTCTTCTTTACGTGCTTAGGGGAGATAACTCATGGCAGTTAGTAGTCACCGGTTTTGTTTTGTTTTCATTTTTATGTTGCTTCTCCGTTTCCTCCACTGAAAAAAAATATGCGAAATTGACAACTTTTTTCCTACTTTACTGAAACAGCACTTCTATCTACACTTCTTTCTTTCTTTCTTTCTTTCTTTCTTTCTTTCTTTCTTTCTTTCTTTCTTTCATTCGTTTTCTCACTGAAACCAAGTTGTGTCTTTTTCTGTCTATCCACGCGATCAAAACGGAATAGTCCATTATTTATGAGGTACTGACAGGGCGTAACGGTCGTGTGAACTAGCGAACGGAGGGACGTTCTTCATTGGAGTTGTAACTGGTAAATAATGATTAGACACTCCTAAAGTAGGTGGCGAAATCCAATAACGTTTTGAAAGCGAACATCGAGAGAAAAGAACATTGAAAAGAGAAGTTAGAAGCGAGAAAGGCAATGGCGTTTTAGGGACAGTTTGAGAACGACAGTCAGTTATGTGCCAGTCGTGATACACGCTTAGGCAATCGTGAATCTTTCGATACATGACTGACGAGGCAGATTTTTTCCCCGCAGTAGTTTGCTATTTCTTTCTGCGGTAGATCAGTTGCCATCGAACGATATAGAACCCGGTTTGTCCTGCTATTTACCCATAGCTGGGGGGAGAAGAATATTCATACCTTTTCCAAGGGTATTAGCACCTAAGTGAATTTCAGTCAGTTATATGCCATACATGATACACGCTTAGGCAATCGTGAATCTTTTGATACATGACTGACGAGGCAGATTTTTTCCCCGCAGTATTTTGCCATTTCTTTCTGCGTTAGGCCAGTTGCCATCCAAGGCTATAGAACCTGGTATGTCCTACTATTTACCCATAGCTGGGGGGAGAAGAAGATTCATACCTTTTCCAAGGGTATTAGCACGTAAGTGAATTTCAGTCAGTTATGTGCCATGAGTGATACACGCTTAGTCGATCATGTATCTTTCGTTACATGACTGATGAGGCAAATTTTTTCCGCAGTAGGTTGCCATTTCTTTCTACGCTAGACCAGTTGTCATCCAAGGCTATAGAACCCGGTCTGCCCTGCTATTTATCCGCAGCTGGAGGGATAGCAAACGGGATTCTGATGAAAAATATATTTTGTTTAAAATAAAAGTTTTGGCACAAAATCAGGCAGCGACCTTAATTGATTTTCTTATGCATTTACAAGCTTTTATCATTTTATTTAATTTAGGAAAAGGCATATATACCGATGTATATGTCAAATCTAAAGTTGTGGCGCATTCAGGTTTAGTGTCCTTAGATCAGCCGACTGTTAAAAATAATGCAATGCCGATTTTAAGAGTTTAAAAAGGTTGATATAAGTCATGAGGACGAATCTTATAAGCAAACATATCAACATCAGAATCACTGCAGGTCGAATTTCAGCATAACATTAAAATTTAAATAAAATTTAAATAAATTTAAATAAAATTTAAATAAATTAAATTTAAATAAAATTTAAAAGTTAAATATTTATAAATTCGCTTTTCCTCTTTGGAGGTACGTTGGAGTAATGGAGGAGACGAGTTGGGGTTTGGGGAATCGAAGGAGGTGAGTTCGAATTCTAGTCGAATCCATTACATTCACTTACATGCTAATATCCTCTTCGTCTCTCCCCCCCCCCACCAGCTATGGTTAAATAGCAGGAAATACCGGTATCTATCGATGGATGGCAACTGGTCTATCGCAGAAAAAAATGGCAACTTGCTGTGGGAAAAATCTGCTTTGTCCATCATGTATCTTTCGATACATGATCGCCTAAGCATATATTACATAACTGACTTCCTTACCACTTGATATCACTGCTATATATATATATATATATATATATATATAGATAGATAGATAGATAGATAGATAGATATTGATAATATTACTGGTCAATACACACACACACATACATATATATATATATATATAAAATATTAATCAGCTCTAAATCGTGTCTTTTCAAATCAATTTTGCATTGTGTAGCATCAAATTATATATATATATATATATATATATATATATATATATATATATATATATATATATATACATATGATTTTGCCAACATTGGTCTCTCATGAAGTGTTAGCCCAAAGGTAATATATATATATATATATATATATATATATAATATTAGTGGTAAATAAACACATACTCACCTCTATAAAACCCCTCTCTGTTAAGTTTTAATCTCCCATCTTCTCTCGTCTGTTACCCTCTCTTTAGCTCTAACATTCGTCCCCACTCTCATACTTACACTCTCTCTAAATTCTATTTTTATTTCCGGAGTTGTTTTTTTTTTCTGTTTTTTTTTTGAATTTGTAGGTCTGATGAATTGGATCGTATTTACGATTCCAATGGAATAAATTATGACCATGGAATATTAGTGTCTAAGCCTTTTTTTTATATATATATATATATATATATATATATATATATATATATATATATATATATATATATATATATATATATATGATGCCGCAGAAAGATTTGGAGTACGTCTAAAAAATAAATTCACAATTAAAATATACGTAAATTCAGGAAAAGATCTAAATACTCCAACGTGAGTGTAAAATGAGAAAATATACTCACGATCCTCTAAATAACTGGAGTGAACGAAGGACGTTCTTCTGCTTACACAAAGATGGCTGCTGTAATTTAATACAGACAACTTCCAACACTTGCAAATGGTGTTTGGACCGCGCCATATGCAAAATAGAGAATGAGTCAGTAGAAAATTGTTAAGAGCACTGTTCATTCCATAATCAGTGTTGTACAATCGCAGATGAATCAGCACATGAATCTGCATGAATTACACCAATTCTCTTTGTGCAAACAGAAGGAGAATATATATATATATATATATATATAAAAAGAAATGGACAAGGTCCGACAATTTATTTATTAAAGACATTTTTTTATGTTTAACGTTGTTATTTTATAGATACAAGTATTTAAGCAAATGCTCTGTTTATGATAAACAGTATTAAATAACATTTACCGGCCTGAATGTCCGAGAAATTTTCATAGAAAATATTCGTTCTTTGACAGGATTACGAACCTGCATCCTATACGGAACCGTCATATACGCTGACGTGCCTTACCTCTAGGCTACAAAGAAGCGTTCGAATCCTGTCAAAGAACGAATATTTTCTATGAAAATTTCTCGGACATTCAGGCCGGTAAATGTTATTTAATACTGTTTATCATAAACAGAGCATTTGCTTAAATACTTGTATCTATAAAATAACAACGTTAAATATAATATATATATATATATATATATATATATATATATATATATATATATATATATATATATATATCCAGGTACGATGAGAACGATAGAGTACAATTCCAACGTCCGTACATTTAATTTAAAAGGGCTCAATACAGAGTAGAGTAATCTTATTTATTTTAGCAAATTAAAACAACATGTAAAAGTCGCTACACAATAGCAGTCGTATTTCGACACATGCCAATGCGTCTCCTCAGACGATTGTAAATTACTGCCCAGTGAACGATTAATTTGATATTCATATTTGATTGGTTGGAGTAAAGCCCCCCAGCCTTAGAACAATTTTTTATCGAAAAAAGAGAATGTATTTTGCTTTTGAAACCAAATTAATCGTTGACCCGCCAGTAATTTGCAATCTTCTGAGGAGACGCATTGGTATGTGTCGAAACACGACAGCAATCGTGTAGCGATTTATAAATAGTAAAGTTATACACTTAATACATATTGTATAAGTTATAGGTTACGATGGATGAATTGTCGTCTAAATTACGCATAAAAATGAAAATAACATTGACATCTCATTTTAACAGATATCTTTACCAAAATTACACAAAAATATTTTGAAATACTAAAGTGTAAATTCATTCAATAAAATCAACATTCAGAGTCTGTCTATATTTCCGAGATGAGGTATTATGTACATTATTTACATTATTCCCAAAGAGTCTGAGTTCAATACCCGGTTAAGGCAGTGGATAACTTTCAGAGGGAAAATTAACAGGAGATAACTGATAGCTATCCATTAAACATGGCACGTAGAACTAGAACAGTCGACCACAGTGAGCAAAATAAAGGGTTCAGTTCGACATTCCAAACACCTGAAGAAGGCCGGAGCGTACAACGGCCGAAACGTTGTGATAAATATGGCGACAAAGATGAGGACAATAGTCCGAATAATATAAATAATGTAAAATCAACATTGGTGTCAACTAAGACTTCGAGACGACCTCGGAATCTCCTGCAACTCTTCTGGATAGTCTCTCTTCTTGTTTAACTTGGTGAATGCTGCCATAAGCTTTGCCTTCAGTTCATCTTTGGTGTTACAAGGAATTTTGGGGGCCTGTCGTTCAACTGCAGCCCCACAATAATCAAGGGAGTTGCAGACTGCATGTGGACAGATGTAACAAGTGATGTGGTCGCAGAAATTGTCTGATAGCCGTGACTGGGTTCTCCTGCTTGTGTGACATGGTGCAGAGTTCTGTTGCCAAACATAGCGTCTTCCAGCATCCACCCTCTTGACCAAAGTAGAACTGCACCCTCAAGGTAATTGATGTAGGCCTTGTGATACGTCTGAGGCACCCACTAATAAAGAATGATCAGAGTGAGTTTTCCGATCTGCTGTACCTTCGGAATCATCATCAATCTCTTTCCGAATTCACAACAGTAATTGACACCCAAACACTCTGAAATATTGATATTGGAGCTTTCGGCACGAATACCAAGCAGTACAGCATGTCGTTTCCAGATTTCTGACGGAGTGAATTGCCTAACGATGCTATTTTTCTCACAGACGGTGCCCAACTGACCCTACTATACTCTGTGCAGTTGGGAAAATCAAAAAGCAGACCAATTAAAAATATAAAATTTTAAGAACGGTGGAGTAATGGATAGCGGCTTGGATTGAGGAATCGGAGAGCCGAGTTCGAATTCCAGTCAAATCCATTACATTCACCTACGTGATAATACCCTTGGGATAGGTATGAATCCTCTTCTTCTCCCCACCCAGTTATGGGTAAATAGCAGGACAGACCGGGTTCTATAGCCTTGGATGGCAACTGGTCTACCGCAGAGAGAACTGGCAACGTAATGCGGGAAAAAATCTGCCTCGTCAGTCATGTATTAAAAGGTAAATGATCACCTGAGC